GTCCAAACTATAAAAAAAGAAAGAAAAATTCTTCTACTGGTGCTTTGAAAAGTTACAAATTTACACGTGTTATCCTGTTACTTTAATCCAGCTATTTCCAACCACTAGTGCGGGGCCCACCGGTGGGCCTCAGAGCGCCAACTAGTAGTCCGCAGTAGTCACTGTCAAATGGTTAGATTAAATCAAAAAATATATTTTGGGGTAATTTACAAAGACAGTTGTTAATATACCTCAATGTGCCAAAAAATTCACACAAATAAAAAATGACAGTATTTCAAACAAAGCATAATCTCAGTGATCAGTTAGTTTGCGTTTACAATACCTCGACACATCATCAGGGAGAGACTAACGTGTTTTGCTACTGTTGGCTAACGGATGTTCCCTCAGATGCAGTGACACAAACAGGCTTCTGTTTGGATTCAAACAGGCAGGCAATGATGGATGAGGGTAAGCAGAATATGTATTCTGGTCATTACAGCTGACAGAGTAATAACATTTATTTACAACCCAGTTTTTACTCAGATATCTGTGGTCTTCTGATCGTATTAAGCAAACATAAGTGGGCCATTAAGTTACAAAAGGTTCAGAACCCCTGAAAAAAACTGATGGGTCAAAGTAACAAGTTGTGGTTTTATGGTGGAATACGTCAGTCAAAGAGTGGTACGGATCCTCTCATCTAACTTTTGCAAATGCAAAACTAAAATTTGAAAACATTGATATTTTCCATATCCTATCATTAAATGCTCACCATCACAATCTTTGCCTCCACCTCTTCTGCTACAAGCGCAATTTCCCATTGGATAAATATAAAGTTTGATCTTATCTTATCCAAAGAATAAGGGTCAGTTCCATCTTTATCTTAACATTCACAAATGCTCCTCCGAGATTACTTTACGTGTATTTTATAAGATAGTGAACCCCCTTGTGCAGTTCACCCTTTTTTAAAGTGCTCTTTCTCCTTGTTGCTAATGAACGCAGGGTATGCTGATTTTAAAGTTGCACAAGTTTCCCCTGGGGTCTAGAGAAAAAGGAATGTGCTTTTGCACAGCATATTGTTCCGAGTGAAAATGCAGCCAAACGATGAACAGAGAGAATGGCAAATGAGGAAGAGGCCTGTGTTTTACAGGAATGATGCTTAATTACATACAAAGCTGCCATTTACAATCCATTGTCCTCCCTGAGCGTTGGCAGACCTCGGCACAATGTGTTGACTGCATCCTTCCTTTCTCTCTTTCTTGATTTGTTTTCTTCCCCCGGTTTGAGGGTCATACACCATAACCGTTCTGAACCCTTTATAATTTCCCCGGTAATCAGTCTGTTCTTTTTTTTGTGTGGCAAAGCTTTAATCAAACATCTCACAGCCTCCACCAGCCAGAAATGTGTTGTTCCGACAGAAACACAAAAAAGCATGCAATTACTCCCGGAGGACCTGTCCCTCCTCTCCGCTACAGCTGCAGAGAAGAGGGCACTATTCCAAACACGCCCTCCTCCTCTTTTCTCTTCTCCTTCCTTTCTTCTGTGTGTTGGAAAATAAGACCACCCTGGCCAAGCCATAATGACAGAAGATGTAAAGATGTGTTTTGTAATGTACTCTATGGAGAAACATTCAGTACTCAACACTCTCCTCCTCTATGGAAACGTCTCATGATAAATAATGAGGATTTTATCCTATAATTGCATAGTCAGTTGCAATGTCATTTGTGAAAAAGTTAACATTTGAGTTTTATAGGCTAAATATAATTATAGAGAGCCTATATTTGACATCTAATTAAGCGTCAAGAGACAACAAAAGTAACTGAAACAAAAGGATCTGCCTTTATTCTTCTTTCTTTTGCAGATAATGTTTTATGGTATGGCACTATGTGGTGGAGAGGGGGGCGTTGTATACATGCAAAACTAAAATGATTACCTGGACCTAACGGCAATGATTATGACTCAGCCATCTTAAGACAACTGCTGTAATATACATCTGCCAATTCAAGTATATTTGGCAAAAAGAAAAAGTCATAGAATGTGTCAAATTGGATGGCACTGAAATGGTCTCTCCATAGAAAGCGCCCTCTCTGAAAATATGTCCTCATTACTTACAACGCCAATACAGTGGGGCTTCCAACTGATCAGGATGGGAAAACAACAAAGAAGTGGAAATTTTGTTTCAGCACAAACACAAATAAAAAAAGCACGCATAGAGCAGACAAACTTATAGAGGCAGGCACAGCATGGCTTAGTGCTCTCAGCCCCTGAGAGGGAACACTGGGCTTAGACATGTCCGACCATCTGTTGGTTATTTTACAGTCACTATACTTTTGTTTATCTTTTGCTTTGTGTAAACTATTGTTGGATTATGCTCTTAAGCCTCAGTAAATCTTTTGAGTTCACATTCAAATTCATTCTTTATTGTCCGTCTATATGGGGAGTTTGTTTTCATGGTCCGTATACAGAAATAACAGTCAAAACAAGGTATAAACAAAACCACAACTAAAGTGTGCCCAGGCTATTTAAAGCAGATATGGTCGATTGGCACAAAACTCCCCCTAAAGCGTGTTTTTTTTTTAGCAGATTGGTTGTCTGTATCTGAGGAGGGTGAAGCATGCAGGATGGCGGGGGTCATGTGGTGTGGCCTGTGCTCTGCTAGAAAAAAAATGACCGTGTCAATGAGCGTTGGCTTGGGATTGGGGAGACCACATATTTTAGAAGATATGTTTGTGATTTTCAGGAGTTCGGTTGGTGAGGGTGAGCATGGTGACATAGCAGGTGTCAGAGTACAGGAGGATGGGCTCAATAATATTTCAGTATATAGAAGAAGCAGGAGGTGGGGTTTGACTGAGAGAGCCCTGAGTTTGCCGATGACAGTGTTTATGGATGCCTGTGCTATGCTGATCAAAGCTCAGTTTGTTGTCCAGGATGATGCCGAGGTACTTAAAGCTCTCCACCGTCTCCACTGGCTGGCTGTTGATGGAAGTGTGGCACTGAGGGGTGGTGAATTTATTGCTGGTGTCAAAGATTGAGCTCCTTTCGTCTTGGTGACGTTGAGGAGGAGGTGACTGTTGCTGCACCACTGGGTGAAATGGGCAACGCACACATTGTATGTAGTTTGTGACCGAGTCCCAGTCTGTGAGGAGGGCGAGTATGTCTGTGTCATCACAAATATATATATATATATATATAAATATAAAGTATTTTGTAATGGAAGAGGGGCTAAAACAGTCATTGTTATACTTGCCAACCATCCCGATTTTTCCTGGAGACTCTTATTTTCATTGCCCACTCCCGGTTTCCTCCCGAGGGTCACAATTATACTGTATTTCTCCTGATTTTTAACAAATTTTTAAAACTTTTTCAAACTGTTTCTGGCACCGTACAGCGTGTAAAGAGTGCTACCATTGGATTAACCCAAACCATGTACGGCATACCTAACAGCTAATAGTGCAGTTTAAATTGATGAAAAGTACTACTGCCCTAATTTGCCCCAAGGCCTGCTTTTTCCTGTTCAGATCATGGTTACTATGTTTGATAAAGTCATAAAGCTCTGGGTATCCAGCAGACGCTGTTTAGGACGGCCCTGCAAAAATGCAACAGAGCGGAATAACGTGAGACATTCGGCAAGGGAAAAGCAGAACGCAAAATGCTACACTCTCATTGACAGCAATAACAGAAGGCCTCCACCGGCTGCCATAAGACACGCTCCGTTTTTTGGGCGCGATCACACCAAGGCGCGTCTCTCCAGGCACAGCCACTTCAGAAATACATTGGCAAAGCGTATCTGGCAAAACAGTGTGGTGCTGCTGTGGAGCGGGGCTGCTCGTGCAAATAAGAGATCAAATGGGAAAAAAAGGAAACAGGAAAATAAAATGTATTCTAGCGGTTGTCGAGCTCTTGTTGTTGCTGTGCTATTGAATTATGAAGTATGTCATTTAAATACCTCTAATATCAACCCTAAATTGTTCCACTGTTTCTGCCACATCTGTTAGCATCAAAACAGGAGGGAAATGGTAAAGTAGTAAAGCCCGCCTCTTGCTTGACGACATTGAGACATTGATGAGATGTGCGATAAGTTAAAACTATTTTAACTTTTATGCATTTCTAAAAAAACGCGAGTAAAACATGACACGTGGCGCAATAGACGTGAATAGGGAACATGAGTTTTGCTGGCAATGCATTTCTAACAATGCGTCTCGGTGCATCTCGAGGCCTTTGCCTGAAGCAGTGAAATGCCGCAGTGGCGCAGTAAGCCATTGGAAATAATGAGTTTCACATTTTAGAGCGCAGTGGTGCCATTGTTGAGTTGTGGTGAGTGTGGTGGTTGGCAAATACTGTATAGTCATTGGTGTCATCAATCATGTGTCTGTACCGCAAACAGACTATCTTCATTAACCAGACAACAGTCAACATGTTCTATTTTGCTAAATTGACATGTTTTGTCACAGCAAAGAAGCTAGGGGCCCAATTTGGATTTATTTTGCTTGTTCATCTCATGATGAAGTAAAAAAAGAAACTTGCAGTAGCAGCATTTAATATGTGTGGGTTAAAGCCATGTTCTGGTTTTATTTGAACAGTTGTTTTTGGTCAAATGGTTGATAAAGTTCATATTAGATTTAGGCCTTCAATGTCATTAGTGCAAAAGTCCAAACTTTCAAAAAAGAACAAGTTAAAAGGAGAGCAAAATAGCACTCACGAGACTCTTGAATTTGGAAATGGAAAACGTTAGAGTATAGTGCCATGAAGGTGCAGTTTACTTACCAGACAATTTGAGTATATTCCTAAAATCTCTGCCAAACCCAACATATGTCTATCTTTTCTAATGTAAATTATGTTGTGGGAGAACTTTAGTTTTCATGGTGTCCCGTTGACGCCACTCGCTCCAAGTTTTAAACGTGCTGCTTTTGAACACACCCCGAGTGTGCTCTAAAACGTGCTGCTTTTGAACACACCCCCAGTGTGCTCTAAAACGTGCTACTTTTGAACACACCCCCAGCGTGCTCTCTCAGCGGTAGATTCGGATTGGACAGACGACTAGCTGGAGGAAAATGGGAGACGACTTGGGTGACGAGTGGTGGGCACAGGAGGGCAACTCAGGTAATCTTGCTTGACTTTAGTATCTTTATTTTGTAGCGTTTCTGAAACGTGTGGTCCGGGAGGTGTTTGGTTTATCCCGATAAACGAACTCTTAACATTAGCTTGTAGCTCTCGCAATAAACGTCGCCTGCTAACGGTAAGCTAACGTTAGCTAGCCAGCAGGTACTGTTAACACGAGCTACAATCTGTGAAAGTTAACGCGTTACCAAAGCCGGCACGTGTAACACACACACACACACACACACACACACACACACACACAAAGTACCAGCAGGTTTTTGTACAGCCTACCTGTGATTTGTTCGGACGGGGAAAGTTAGCATGGGCAGCAGGAGTTGTCGCGAGCAGAAGATGTGTAAACACGTGTGTTAGTGAGGATGTGTAAACACGTGTGTTGGTGAGAGTAAATGATCACGTTGTCTGTCGTACCCTTAAACCTTACAGTTAGCGCTCATCTATATACATAGCGTTCTTCTATTTATTCTGCTATGCCCATCATCCTCATCCCCATGCAGTAACAGAGGCAGTTCCCTGCGGCTGTTCCTTCCACAGCTTCATGCACGCTGCATACCAACAGAGGGCAGTCCTGTTATATGTGCCCTGGTCTCATTGTTTTGGACAAAGTGTATACGTTATTGAAATGAAACGTTTATATTTAACAGACTTGCAGACATATATCACTTGCATAAGTTACACAAACCTGTGGTGGATATTTACTAGCATTTACTAAAGCACTATGGCCTACTTAAGTATAATCTTGATGTACTTTAACTTTACTTGAGTATTTCCATTTTAAACTACTTAACTTTATACTTTTACTTCACTACATTTCACAGGTTAATGTTGTGTTTCTGGCTGCACTTGATTTTTGGCATGTTTAGTTACACGAGTTTCTAAATCTTGTTAAGGATTTAACTACCAAATGGTAATGTACATAATATATATCTATAAGTAAAAGATTTAAATACTTCTACCACTGCTGTGATAGAAGCACATACAATGACGATACTCACCAAGCATATTACTTTGTTTATTTACATTTATTCAGAGGAGGAAAGCAATTCTGGGAAATACAATATGATTAATATAATATGTTACAGGTTCTTTATAACAGGGATTCAGAGCGTTTATATAGCAGCTCCGCCATCGCCCTGTTGAGAGCCGTGTGGAGGCAGTGGAAATGATCAGAATTTTGAATTTGGCACATTTGAGTACTCATGGGCATGTATCCTTACGTTCTTCAGTCAAACTGCTCAGAAGAATGTTAGATTATGCCTTAGAAGTGCTCTATTGTAATGATGGTAAGATAACCTACCGTTTGCCCTATTACCTCGAAAACAAACGGTCTACTAGCTGTTTACCTACACAGGTGAGCAGCAGCATGAAATGAACATTCGGGGCAGTCCTAATTGAACCAGTTGTTTGACTGTGTGGCAAATGCCTATGGTGGCTGTATATATTATTCAACTAATCATTTATTAGTGCTTGTTTTTGTTTTAATATCCTCCTGATACTCCCTGGCATGGTTACAATCACAATTCTTGAATTTACTCTGCACATTTTAACATGCAACCTATTATTCTTTTACACGAGACCGCAGTGCTAAACGTATCTTTCTCAGATCTGTGTTTCCCCTGTATGCACGGAGGGAGTTTTCCCATGTTTCTGTCCTGTATTGAGAGCTCTGTTGCATCTTCTATGAGTTGATCCTTTTAGTCTTGGGAATCCTTGTTGGACCAGGCTTCTTTAGTGACCCACGAAGACATCTGATTAGAGAAAGGAGGCATATGTATCTGTTAGTTGTTCACCTGATATTAGATCTTACACTTTTTTTGTGAAGTATTTGTCTTTTGTTTTGTGCAAAGATGTCGTCGTGTTGTACTTTTGAAAGTTGAATATATGACCTTTTATTGCCAGTTTATACACTTTACCCGCACTACGGTGTAATGAGCCGGAATCACATGCATTTACATCATTACCATATAAATCTATGGACTCTATTGAGAGATGTCTACAGCTCTTTGTCTTTCTAGGTTGGCCCCTTTTTGACTGACTGGCATCCCATCAGTGCGTACATTTGTCTCACAGAACGGCTTGACAGAAAGGCCCGACTGACAATTGACAGGACGGAAAAAGGAGACTTGAAGTCTTTTAGTGCGTGGGACTGAGTTTAAAGTCACAAGAGTGAAGAGGAGAATCGTAAGAAGCGGTATGACTTTTATGGTGATGCTTCGTGTGGCTAAATGCTCAGAGTAATGACACCGTTTCTCATGAGGCCTCTTGTCGCGCTCCAGTCTGCCCCTAAAATCTCATCAACTGCCTCATCTGGCTTCTTACCTTGCCAACCGGTGATGTCAGCGCGGTTAATGTTTCTCCCTGTTTGTCGTCATATTCCGGCTCTGCCAGCCTCTCCCACCACAGTAAGCCCCATTGTGTCCCCCAAAACTGTCAGTTAGTTTCTTATTTAGACGACACAGCTCATCACAGCTTTTATTAAAGCTCAATAACAGCCCATTTATTTCTGACACTCTACGTAACCATATAGTTAGTGGTTTCGACTTTTCAAAAGTTGTACTGTGAACCGTGAATGTTGTGATTTAGGTTTTAGGGTATGAGGTATTCTGGAAGTTGGATACTGTGATAATGTATTTCACAAAAATAAATGCTGCTCCTCATTAGTGTGCTATGTATTTTTGCCAAATCCATCTTACCTCTTTTAATATTCTGGACAGGTCTCCTTCGCCTGCATGCCTTAGTGTGCAGTTTGAGCAATTGAAGCTTTTTTTTTTGTGACTCTGGTACTTTCATGTTTCACATGTTTCTTGTTTGTACAATATAAACAGGAAAATCTGATAAAGGACATATTTATAACATACGCAAATCAACACAAGCATGAAATGAGCTGTATCACTGGTCTGCAGTGGGAGGTTTAGCTGGCAGGAGATGACCAACTGTTGGCAACTTACGTGGCTAACAAAACAACACTGACCAGTATTGGCATGTCAATGGCTGCTCTTGGCTGCTTTATATTTGTTACCGTAAATGAAGAAAAGCTGAGAAAATGTTTTACGGGGTTGTGCAAAAGTTGAAAAAGTATTTAAAAGTATGTTGTTTGTCCGTTGTAAACGTGTTAAGACGTTGGTAATTACAATTGACCGTTTATCATTTTTTGCTACAAATAGAAAAAGGCCTTTAATAGTCTGTCCACCATAAAACGTTAACAGACCCTCCACCGCTAGGTGTTCCAAGTTTAATTGTTTCAGAGAAACATGAGCTGAGTTTTCCAGTGCACATTTGAAGGAGGTTTCACACTTACGCACACAGTTGTGAGGAATTTTGCTGTGGTTGAAATAGCTGGTGACTCAACTGTTGAAACAAACACATAAAAAGTCTTTTAGGGCCTTACAGAATGTAGTTTATTTACATTCAAAGCTTGTATTGATTTAGAAACAAGCCTAAAATGACTGTTTTATGACGTTATCACCCTAAAAAAAATGGAAAATAAAGATTCTTTGTTAAATAATTTACAGTGCTGGTGCTGTTGATTCCCTTTGTGAGAGCAAACTGGATTCTGACTGGTTTCACAGTGAAAATGTTTTGAAAGACGAAACGCCAACAAATATGACAAGCAGAATATTATGTCGGATGAAAAAAATCTATTTTTTCCAATAAATTTAGTTTTTCTGACTTTACAATGATCTGGAGTTATTGGAAATCAATAATATTGGAAGTCACATCAGTCGAAAACAATCCTACACAACCTCCACTGAAATCTTATGACAAATGATATATTATAATATTAGTGGCATAATCTTAATGCAACTGTGCAAAGAGACAGGGTTTAAACAAAATGAACAGACAGTAGATGTCTATGTGATGAATGAAGCTTTAAACTAGTTGGTAGCAGGTACAACCCTACCTGTTCTCCAGTGACTCTTAGTTTTCTCCAGTCACTTCATTTGAAACGTGTCACGTAAGCGGGTATGTGCTTGGTGTGTTGTGCTTCGCAGTGTTTAGTTGGCATCAAACCAGGTTTTTGGTCTTTTCTGATTCCATCTGTTTTGCATTTAAATTGTCCGGCAGCCTGATGGCTGCGTTGATGCCAACACACTCTCAAAAGTATTCAAGGTGAAGAAATAAAGTCAACACAAACACTTTTAATAAACATTGATGATACAATTTTTTTTCAAAAAAGCACATCACACATTTGCTTGCGATGCTGTCTCGCTTAGCTCTCATACAGGTACTAGACACTCATGTCATACAGTCCAGGGTTGTAGAAGTCAGCCAGTCTAAGGACACACTAACTACACCAAATAGGACATACAAAGGCTCTTATAGGACAAATACCACAAAGCATTTATTTCATGAATGTTACAAAATCCCCAAAACTCTGGGTTCTCCTTAGACAAAGTGAATTGTTTGAGTTGTCTGGTCCGGAAACGTGACTGAAAACATAGTACAGTATGCTGAGAATATATTTTCACCTAATCAAAAAGGCCACTTACTGTAATGTTTGAGGAATGTGAAGCTGAAGAGGCAGCGGGGGATATAGTGATGCTGCTCGTAATCGTGCCAACACCTTTGACATGACAGCCATTGGCGAGCACTTGAGTCCTTTGCTCATGTCGGAGATAGTACGGCCCAACGGGCTGTGGCATGCTGTGGGTCATACCATTCAGAGACTGGCTGTAGGGGCTCCCCAGATGGATATGGATTTTGTTCTCCTCCGTGGCGACGATACTGGGACCCGTGTCGGTGCTGCCGGACCTCTGGTGTTGCCAGCCGCTCTGCCGCTCCGGCGTCTTGCAGTAGACCGCCTGATTCGCAGCATCCGGCGGCTCCGGAGAACAGGTCCTGACCGTTACGATCTGAACGGGGGAGCCGCCGTGGTCGGGTGTCACAGAGCGCGACACCTGAGAGGTGGGCGCACCGTCGAGCGGGGACACGGTACGGTCGGGGCTGGAGGGTGGGGTTTTAGTGTTAACCGCAGACAGAGCTGAGTTCTGGATGATCGTAATTCTCTGTTTTGGCGAGGCGCCGCTCGTTGGAATGACGGCCGTGCTGGTGTAGGATGTAGCCGTGTCTCCGTTGGGGCTGCTTATCTCGAGCGTGGCCGTGTTGAGTATGTGATGCGGTGTTACTTTGATCTGTAAGGGCTGCCCCGGTGTGTGCGTTAACATCATCACCTCTCCGTTAACCGGTTGGTGCGCATCCGTGCCATTGGCCGAACGGCCGCCGTATTTGCTCACATTGTTATTCGTGCTGTTCAAGCTGTTCAGGTTGTTGACCAGAGAGCTTCTTCTGTTCATGACTTCCGCATCGCGGCTTGGTTCCTCATCCTCGTTTTCTTCGTCTAGTCTCTCGCTGTAGTCGGGCGGCAGGCTCTCTGGGGGCTCGGTCTGAACCTCCTTGGCGGTCTGATGGAGGTCTGTAAAGCGTCGTTTGTTCGCACCGGGTGTAAGATTCTGGATTTGTCCGTGCCTGTCGAGCTCACCGCACAGCTCCTTCATCTCTCTGGCCAGCTCTCTGTTGCTGGCCTCCTGCTGGGTCAGCTTCCTCCGCAGCGTGGAGTGATCCGTCTGAACCCGGCAGATGGACTCCTCGGTGCCCATCAGCTTGTGGAGCTTCTGCTTCAGGGTGTCGACCTCTCTGCCCAGCAGCCTGGACTTGACCTGCTCCTTCTGAAGGCGGCAGAGGAGAAGGTGCTCCTGGTTGACCTCCTGCTTCTCTGCCTGCTCGTACCTGGATAGCTCCCTCTTCACCTCCTCCAGCTCCTCTGTTAGAGCCCGGGACCTCCTCTGTTCCTCCTTGAACCTCTTTTGCAGGGACTCAAAGTCACTTTCCACCTTCATCAGCTCCTCCTCCAACACCTCCTTGTCCCGTAGTCTCCTTTGCAACCTTTCTAGCTCCAGGGTCAATTCTTTGACTTTGTTGTCCTCTGTGTGGCAGTGGTGGTCAGCGTTGTTTGGAATAGAGCCGTGTGCGTACTTCTCTTTCTCTTTCCTGTTTTCCAAGATCTGCAACCTTTTCTTCATCATAGTGATTTTACTCTGTAGCTCTCCATTCTTCTCCCCTTCACTTTTTAGTCTGTCTTGGAGCTCATATTTTTCCTTTGCTATGCCCTTAATCTTTTCCTCTAAATCAACCTTAGACCTCAGCGCCTGCTGCCTCTCCTCTCTCAGTCTCTCTGTCGTTGTTGCCAAAGTGTTTTGTTCATTTCTTTTGCCCTCCTTCCTGTTGAGCTTTTCCTCGGCCTGCCGGAGCCTCTCGGCCATGGTCTTCCTGTCCTCCACCAAAGCGACCGTCAGTGACCTGAGCTTGGCCAGGTCCTGTCTAATCACCACCTCACTCTTCTCCAGGTGGCCTTCGATGGCCTCCAGCTCTCTCACCCTACCTCTCAGAGCGTCGAGCTCGCCCGACAGCACCTCGCTAACCTCCGTCTCTCGCTCCAGGCTGCCCTTCAGAACGCTACAGTCCTGCCTGCTCTTACCTAAAGCCTCCTCTATCCTGTCCAATTCGCTGATCCTGCCGTTGAGTTTATCCACCTCAACCCTCAAGCTACGGCAGCGGCTGGTCTCCCTCGCCAGGCTGCGGTCCAGGTCTCGACACTGGTCCCACATGCGTACCAGCTCCTCGTCCTTTCCCTCCATTTCCACGACCCTTCTCCTCAGCAGCTCGACCTCCGACAGCAGGCTTGGGGCCGTCATGGCGTCTTGGCTTTGGTGGAAGATGGAGGCTTTATTACGGTGCGGGGATTTGAGCTCGTCCCTCTTTGCGCCGGGGTAAGCGGCGCCAACCTCCCGCTCGATGCGGTCAGTGACGGCGGTCAGTTCTTTGCCGCGGCGCCTCTGCTCCTCCAGCAGCTCGCTCAGACACCGTTGCTCCCTCACAACCAGCAGTGCAAAGGCTTTCAGCTTGGTGAGCTCATCCTTTAGAGCCGATAATTCTTTTTCCCTTTTCTTCTCCTTAATCTCCTGGTATTCTCTCTCCTTTACAATGAGGAGCTTGAGTCTGTAGAGAGAGAAACAAACGATGTTGATGTCAAACTGTTTTGGCATGCTTTTATTGTGTAATTGTCTGTGTTTATACTTAACCTCTTGGCCACAAGCAATTTTGTAAATTGTGTATTTCCAACACAAACATTTATTTATAATTTTCAGAAGAATTTGAATCACAGGTTCCTCCTTACTCAAACTTCTACAGAAGCCAGTGATGCTTTCTTTTTTGTCCCTACTTGTAAACCCTAAAACATGAAGATACGTCCATGTAATTCCACGTCGCTCTGCACTCAGCATGCATTCTGTAGGATGTTTAGACTATTACGGCAGATGGTCCCTTGGCAGGGAGTGTTTGTTAATTAAGAAGTTCCTCTACCCTTGAGTACCCTCGACACTGCACCCAAATCACCCTCCTCCTGTGCCCCTCCAACGCTACCCCATTCCCAGCGAGGAGCGGCAGGAATTCCCCCCCCGTTCCATAAGTAATTACAGACCGGCTGCATTTACAAGTGCTGTCACTCTCCACATTTCCCCCAAATGCATGCCAGCAAATGTACAAATGCGTTTGATACACACTGCATTTTTTTGTCAAGTGTTATTGCAAGTGAGGCGCAGTTCAAAGTGATCTCTCGCCAGTCAATTTGAACTATTTTGGAATCAATCTCATGTGAGTGTGTGGACGTTGAGTACTGGAGGCATCCAGAGGGCTGAGAGGTCTGCTCGACATGCTTCGATGCATGTTTTCCTCTGTGTCCATGTTAAAGAATGTCCTCTCTTAATATTTGATGAGAAGCGTGTGGAGAGCTTTGTGTGTAAGTAATGGTGTGTGGATAAGATCTTTAGAGCAAGTAATGTGTAAAATATGAGTCTGCACATTGTGTTTTAAGGATTTACGGTTACATTTAGAGCATCTGTACTTTTGCTATTAAGATTCATACCATATGTGTGTGGGTGAAAGGGTTAAATATATATTTATCTTATTCCGAATTGGATTTATCGCTGGTCTGAAAGTTATCGCTCTAATACATCGATTAATAGGTTACACTACCTAACCTCAAGATTAGTTTTTATTGGTCCCACTTGTAGTTGTGTCTTGTCAATAATGCTTCTTTAAATAGCAAAGAGTTGCAAACAGAAATGTAAACTGTAAAAATTGCATTTTCAGTGAAAAGATTTCAGTAATTCTTAATGTATTGTTCTAAATATACAGTTCAGACAGACACCTCTTTGAATTGTTCTCTTGTTATTTGATACCAACATGACATCAAAAGATGTTCTATCGGAACTTTGCGGGACTGGAGAGAACTTAATTTGCCCGTAACTTATCTTGCAGTTAATTAGTTTTGTGGGTTAATACATTTTTTAAATACACATTCTAACTTTTCCGCTGGTCACAAGTCTCTGGACTGTTCCTACCTGTGCTGTGCCGTTGGCCTCTGTCCTTTTTTAAAAATCCTTAGAGAATAAATCGCCTCCACTCTTCTACCTCTCCCTTTCCCGGAGATCCCAGTGATGTGGACATTCCATCCGGAAAACCAAACATTATGAGAAGTGCGCTGCACACTGAGTCTCACTCGCAGTCCTTGGCGCCCATTACATCATCAGTAAGTCCTTATATGGGACTGTACAGGCTCTACTGATGTGTGTGCGTTCTTGTGTGTGTGTTTTTACTGGAGTTCAGCCCATTCCAGATGAGGTCATTGTGTAGCAATGCCAAAGAGGCTAATGGGAAGGACAGAATGTGTGTGTATGTGTGTGTGTGCGTAGCAAGCTAAAGCTTTAATCACAATTCAAACTAAAACGGCTAACAGTCTGTGTGCAGGGTTAGACTGAGCAAACATGTTAACTATGCTGCATAAGTGCTGCTAGGCCTGTAGCTCATACACACTGTATTGTGTGTGTGTGGTGTTCCCATGTGGTTTAAGAAGAGACATGTTTTGTTAGTTTTGCTTTGCCTGGGGCCTGATAACCTGACTGAGATGACATCATCAGCTCATAGGCCCTCAATTACAAACATATGTCTGCCTCTCTCTCCGTCTATTCAAATTTTTCAATTCAATATGCTTCATTGGCATAAATGTAACAAGGACAACATTGCCAAAGCATCAAGTAAATGAGATTCTAAAGAAAAAAGAACAAGGTGCCATTAATAAAATCCGTCTCTTTTTCAGTTCAAAAAGGATTCATTGGCATGAACGTTTCAAGAGAATATTGTGATGCCAAAGCATATACAATAACTAATCATCTGTCTCTCGCTCGCGCACTCATTTTCTTCTCCACCATACCTTCTTGCTTTTAGTTATTAATTGTAACTGCAATTTATGTTGTTCTCTTGCCAGCCTCAGCTTCTAATGAATCCCTCTCTGATGGTATCTGTCAAGTCGAATGCATGAGCTCAGTGGAGTAGGGAGGGATGACAGATTATACTCTCATTATTCCCACTGCCAGTCTTGTCTGTCACAACATGAATACCCAAAACGATAATGGGAAAATAAAGGATATATTATCTCACTGGATGATACTACTGCCAGCGCTGCAGGAGGGAGCACTTACTTGCATTGTGGCTCCCAGTTCTAGCTCTCTGTGGGAAATAAACCTCCGGTGGTATTTCTTTCTGTCGAGCAAAAACCCATCTAGTGTCCAATAATTAAAGGAGCGCCATGTTGTCATCACACAAGAATGTACAAAACAGCCTAAAAGATGCACTTCAACTTCAGTTTTCTTTAACATTTTATGTTTTTCAAGCATTTTCACACCAGGCGTGGGACTCTAGATTGCTCATTTGTTCAGAGAAAACAAGGAAAGCTTGCACAACAGTGACCAACATTTATGCCGGTCACAGTTCATAAATACGCAAGCGATGTCTTCACGGTTATTGGAGGTTTTTAGCAGCTCTGTGCTAATGTGACACATTTCACAGAATAGTTTCTAAGCATTTGACACGTGTTTAATTGATTGATTACAACTGTGGCGGCCTGTTTCAAAGCCAGAGATCACTGAGGTTGATCAACCCCGCTGGACTAATCTGCTTTGACGCTGAAGTCGTCTCTTGTAAGGAAAGATCTCGGTAAGATGAGATATCTCTGTGGTTGTGGAATGTGAGGGAGAAATCCTCCTCATTCCTCACAACTCCGATCCGCTCAGACCAACTCCCAAACCAGAGTTCATGAGGTCCTGTTTTCGCTGAGAGGAGGGGTTGGCAATCTACAGCGCTTTTCCTCAATTACAAGTACGATCCCTCAAAGGCACTTCCAGGAAAAGCCTCAAACATCGCCCCCTTACATGAGGAGCACTCTCCGAGCCGTTGTCATAGCTACTATTTTCAATCCAGTGGGGTGTAATTTGGGAATATTGAGTTTTTGTAGCTGCTGCCTTCTTCCAATCCTCCAGATGTCCTGAGCATAATGCTGTATAAGGTCACAGAAAAGGCACATTGAAGATAAAAAAAACAAAGAAAAGCAGCTGTTTAGGCAGTCTGCCCTGGATTACTTCTCTCCATTTTCCAGCATGCTTAATAACATTGAAGCAGTGACTAAACTGACCTCATATGCTTTGTGTAGCTAATAAAGAGGCCCAACAGCTTGTGATCAGAACAGCGGTTCTGCTCTGAAGTGATGCTCTGCCAGACTATTACGGTGATTTAAGCACTTCTTCTTCTCCTGACATATTATTGGCTGGGCGGATTTTGGATGTGTGTCGAGTGTAAGGGATGGACTGTCTGTTTCCGCTACGACACGGCCAAGTTTACTTTGTCCTTTTTCTTTTTAAGTGATTTTTCTAAAATGTTTCCTCCACCATGTTTAATGTTGAAGCAAGCCAGAGAGCTTTTCCCTTTTCATTGATTGCTTGTTCGCCGTGTTAGTGGTGCGGCTGTAGGGCTCGCAATGCTCGTCTGTCGGCCCAGTAGCGCCACCAGCAGGTTGACATTTTAGTGAAACGTCACAACCATTGTTGTATCATTCGCCATGAAGTTATGTAGGCTATTTATTCATGGTCCGAGGATAAATTTGAATGATTTTGGCGGTCCTCTAGCCACACCATGAGGTCGCCATTTGTGGATTTTACGGGAAATATCCATCCAACAACTGGATGGATTGCCATGAAATTTGGCACGGACATTCATGCTCCCCTCAGGATGAACTGTGATAACTTTGTTGATCCACTGGCCTTTCATGCAACATTTTAAATTTGTCCAATACTTTTGTTTATGACTAAATACCATAATTTATCAGTCCCAGCTGTACTTTTTGTTTTAAAGCAAATGATCAAGTGTTAGCTTGCTAACACACTAAACTAAGAAGATGAACAGGCTAAACCTTCTACCTATGGGTTAGCATTGTCACTGTGAACATGTTAGCATGCTGACTTTAGCATTCAGCCCAAAGAACTGCCTCAGTACAGCCTCATCGAGCCTCCAGCACGGCACTTACTGGTGATGATGTATTGCTGAGCCGGCCACATCACTTGGGGAGGGAAAACGGGAACTAGTCTAAAAGTAGTTTGTGGCTTCAGGGTAGAGCCTGTAAAAAGTTTTTTAGTTTTTTGATTCAGAACCGGGGTGAACAGATGAGAGCACGGATGTCTTTGGTGTGTCGAACATGTGTGTACGGTTAATGCTGAGATGCTGTCAGCCCATTGACAGCCCATAGGAAACACACACACAGAGCTTGTTCTGATAGCTGAGGTCGGAACAACCCGATCGCTGCATTGTGATGTGCGCTATGTAATCATCCTCTGACACGCAACGGGGATCATGCTATGGCATAAAGTGATTATATGCCGTGACTGGAGTTTGCCTTATAGTTGACTGCTGAAACAGGTCATCTGCTGAGCACATGGCACCTTGTGGAACTGCTTTTGTAGGGAAATGAAAAAGAGAGGGGGGGGGGGGGGCTGATTTTAAGCCCGGCTGAGTGGCTCTCTTAGCTCAGAGCGTATGCTTTGAAAAAGAAACAGGGAGGGAGATTGAAAGATAGTTCAAGTGGATTTGGAGTAGGAGTGGAAATTCTTTCAGTTAAATATTTAGGCTACTGCTGAGTGAAATGTAAGAAAGACAGGATGGAGAGGAGAGATGAAAGGGACCGGCTGTATCGCCATGTGCCGTGTGTTGTTTACCCTGTGGATGAATGCAAGCATTGACTCGGCTCAAATCTTTTTTTCTGTGCCAAGCTCAAAGAAGCTGAAAATCAGTTGGGAACACAAAGAAAGGGAATGTAAAGTGTGCCTTAGAACACAAATAAATATATAACGGCGAAAGAGCTGTGGATTGATTGGGAATTTGCAATGAGGAGTAGCTAATTTATTGTGTTTTCAGGGATGCAACAATTACTTTTATTATCAATTCATCTGCAGGTGATTTTCCCAATTAAAATCAAGTAATTGATTGGTCTACACAATGTCAGGAAATGGTGAAAAACGGCCAT